TCACTGACACACCTGTACTCACTGACACATCTGTACTCACTGACACATCTGTACTCATTGGCATTTAACAGTGTGATCTCATTTGGTATTTCATTGTTGATGATTGTGTTCATCCATTTTGCTTTTACTCCCTGACATTTAACGCAGGGGGATTTGATTTAGTATTTCATTGTTTCTCATTATATTTCATGTTTTTATGCTTTTATTCATGTTGCTGTAATATGTTGTTATTAATATTTGATGCTGTGATCTTTTTTGGTAGCACTTTGATAACAGTTACTGTTTTAAATGTGCTATATGAATATATGTGCCTTGACTTGACTTGACTGTTGCTGTGACCTTGGATTGAAGAAAGCAGAGTTTACCAACACCTGCACCGGACACTGCACCCAGATCATGACTGACTGTGGATATTTCACACTGGACCTCAACCAGTATGGGTTCTGTTCCTCACCCTTCTTCCTCCAAACCCTTGGACCTTGATTTCTGAATGAAAGACACTTTACTTTAATCTGAAAAGAGGACCGAGGAACCCGACAGTTGTAGTCCATCTCCAGGATGCATCTGAGTGTGGTGGTTTTTGAAGCTGTGACTCCCGCCTCATTCCACTCTTTCTGGATCTCTGACAGATTCTGGATCTTCTCTGGTTGATGATCACTGAAGCCCATGGTCTTTTGTGGCTTACCCATCCTATGGAGGGTCTCAATGATGGTCTTCTGGACAGATGTTCTGTCTGCAGTCTTCACCATATTGAACCAAACTGAATCAATGACACCTGGGGAAACCTATGCAGGTGCTTTGAGTTTAGTAGATGATTAGTGTCACACTCAGTTTAAAACATTCATGTCCTGCAACATTTGGACTGATGTCTCCACAGTATTATATTTATTTTTTATTTTTTCCTCCTTGTCCTGTCCATCATTGTGACTCTCAGAATTATTGTCTGAGTGTGAAAGTGATGCCCAACAGATTTACTTTCACAAGCAGAGCATCATGGCTGGCCTTAATGCTCCACTTGATATATAAATTAAATTTTATTAGAATTTGCTTTGGGTTTGTTTCAGATGTAATGGACATGGGGATGAAAAACAAAGAAGAAAACAAAGCAGAAAAGTGAGAGAAGAGTTAAAAGGTAAAGAAGGAGAGAGGAATAGAGGAGAGAGAGAGAGGGATAAAGAGAACACAGATCAACATCATTGAAGTCTGACTCTAGACCTGCGGAAAAAAAACAAGACAAAACCGTGAAACCACAACAACAAACAACTTATATAATGATACTTACAACATCATTAGAAAGTATTTTATACAGTACACGGTAATACAATATATATTTGATGGCCACCACAACCCGAGTGTGTATCTGATAAACACCTGGATCTAAACACCTGTGTGAGCATGATGTCACTTTAAGGTTTCTCCATTAAAATGTTCAATAGTGGATGTGGGGACCCACAGACCCGTCCCCCCCAGGACATGATGACGACACAGGGAAGACCGGAACCACAGACACACAGTGGTCCCCAAGCCCAGAGCACCGGGAGTCCCCTAACAGGGACAACCGCACCCCCCCAGAGAGAAGCAAAGGGAAGCCCCGGGCGATCCCCAGTCACCACAATGCAGAAACCCCAGAAACCCCAGGGGGCTGCAGCGACGAGTCCACAGGCCCCGCCGGCAACCCGCCCCTTCAGAGTAGATCCGGCCATGGACACCGAGCCCCGAGTCCCGAGGTCATACCACCCCCCAACAGAGGCCCGGCAGAGCCAGGGCACCCAGGCCCCGGCAGGCAGCCAATCATCCAGCCCCAGATGCCGAGAGTCGCCAATGCACCGGTGGCAGGGGGGCCCGCCACCGGAGGGGAGCGCAACAGGGGGAAGTAGACCCCACATTAAATGGGGGCCCCAAATTGATTCAAGAGGGGGACCACCTAAAACCCAACTGGAGACATAAACAGGCACACAGAGACGGCCCGACAGAGGTCCATGCACCCCCCCACCCCCCACCCCTGAATCTATCATCTATTAAAGAGTAACTTTTTGAATGGAATTATGGAATTTAAACAACTTTTCCATGATATTCAAATTTTTTGGAAAGGGTCTTTGACCTCCTGTTTTCCCTTCAGGGACTCAAACCCACGAATCGGTGATATCCTGCAGAAACTGGCTCCCTTTTTGAAGATGTATGGGGAGTATGTGAAGAACTTTGACCAGGCCATGGAGCTAGTGAACACCTGGATGGAGAGGTCATCTCAATTCAAGGCCATCATCCAGGAGATCCAGGTACAGATCTGTGTCCTGGTAAGTTCTGTCAGCATGGCATGGCTCAGCAGCTCATGTTTTGTGCTTGTGTTGTGCTTGTACAGAAAGAGGAGCGTTGTGGCAATCTGACCCTGCAGCACCACATGTTAGAACCAGTTCAAAGGATTCCACGCTACGAGCTGCTGCTCAAAGATTACCTACACCGACTGCCAGAGGATGCACCAGATTGCAACGACGCCAAGAGTACTAAAACAAACGTCTCTAAACTGCTGTCTGTGCTAAATGTGTTATCTAGCTGTGCAAACATTTAGCCTAACTATATTAACATGTGTATGCTAACATTATTCTGTGATAACAATGAGCTGTGCTAACATTAGTTGTGCTAATATTAGTATGTGCTAATATTAGTATGTGCTAACTTTAGTCTGTGCTAAGAATAGTCTGTACTAACATTAAATCATGCTAACATTAGTCTGTACTGCAGTTTGACTCCCATCACCCTTTGGAGCACAAGTTAGGAGTCATCAGGACTCTGTACCACAGAGCAGACAGCGTCCCCACTAGCTCAGGAGCCAGGCAGAAGGAGAAATCCTACACAAGACAGGCTCTAGAGCAATGTGGATATCCTAACTGGGCCTTCCTGAAAGAAGAAACCCAAACAGGACTCCAGTCAGCCATCAGGTGAAAAGGAGGAACCCAGACCCAGACCAGTGGTCATTCCATATGTTGAGGGAGTATCAGAGAAACTGAGACGTTTATTTTCTAAACATAACGTCCCAGTGGCTTTTAAACCCCAAAATACATTAAAGACTGGTTTATCCCAAAGATCCAGTCCCCCAGCACAAACAGAGTAATGTTGTGTATGTTGTTCAGTGTCAGGAGGGTGATCAGTCTTACATCGGGGAAACTAAACAGCCACTGGCCAAAAGGATGGACCAGCACAGAAGATCAACATCATCAGGCCAGGACTCTG